TGGGCCTGGTCGCCAAAGCGGCAACCGAGCCCATAGAGCAAAGAGGCCTGGGCTAAAGGGACGTGCTGTCCGTTTAACCCAGGCATGGCTCTTCTATGGGCCTGGTCACCGAAGCGACCGCTTCGGCGACCACGCCCATAGAGCAGCGAGGCCGGCCCCGGCCTCGCTCCACGATACGTGTTCAGACATACGGCGAAAGCAGCATCATTCCGGCATCATTCCAGTCGCAAGAGTGTAATTCCTCAAGATACCCAGAATTCAAAAGAAGTGAAATGATGCAGGAACGATGCAGGGATGATGCAGGGAAGGGCGGGGCTATGTGCGACGTCGTGTGAACACACGGAAAAAAGAACCGGAATGGTGCAGGAATGATGCAGGATTCTTTCTGCTTTAGGGCCAGTGTGATAATGTCCTTTGTGTCAGTATGTTATGCACTCCAGTTACAGTGAGCCCTTGTTATTTGCTGAGGTTTGGTTCCAGGACTGTCCGTGGATACCAAAACCCGTGGATTCTCAAGTCCCACTAAATCCAATGGCACAGTCAAATGGTGTCCTTTATATAAAATCAAGGTTTGTTATTTGGAACTTATACTTTTAAAAAAATATTTTCAAGGTGTAGATGCTTGACTGTGGATAAAAAAAGGTGGATAAGGAGGGTCAACTAGATTTCCTAAGGAAAAGCTATCATGGGGGTTTCTTGGTAAGATTTATTCAGAGGTAGTTTTTAATTGCCTTCACCTGAGGCTATGCAAATGTAACTTATAGACTAGGGGTTGGCAACCTATGGCCCGTGGGCCGCACCCGGCCCACCAACCCCTGCTGACCGGCCCCTGCCACCGCCTCTGCGCGTGTCGCAACCGCCATTTTGGCAAACAAAATGGCAGCTGCGGTGCATGCGCGGTGGCGGCTGGTGGTGGTGGGTGCATGTGATCGCGCGCGCTGCCATTTCCCCCACCCCAGCGGAAGACCTGGGGACCAGCGACCGGCCCCAGGTATGTGAACGTTGCCGACCCTGTCCTAATGCCAGACGTTAAAGTTTCCAGACCAAAACCTGACACAAGGGATAGCCTCTGGTGATACCATTAAGTGTTCCACTAAGGACAATGAAGCTGAAGACCAGGATTCGGTTCCCTGAACAGGGTTCAGCTCGGCCATGAAACTCACTGGGCAAGTCATACACTCTCAGCCTCAGGTGAAGGCATTGGCAAACCACCTCTGAACAAATCGTGCCAACAAAACCCCATGATAGTTCTGCCTTAGGGTCTCCATAGATTGGAAATTACTTGAAGGCATATAAC